CCCTCGCTGCCCTGCGGGCACGGGCTGAGCACTGGCACCACGAGCATCCTGCCCAGCCTGGGGCATCCCAGCAGGGCTCAGGGAGGGCAGGCTGGGCTCAGGGGCTGCCTGCAGCAGGAACTGGACTGGGGCAGCGTTGCTGCTTGGCAGGTGGCTTGTTTACTGTGTAAGCAAGATGGGTGGGAAGTGTCTCATACAAGGGAGACTCGTGCAGGAATAAATTTGAGCTTGAACAGGGTGCTGTGTGCTCATCTCTGGGAGGGCAGAGGGCTGTGGTCTGGAACTGGGTGGGAAGCTGCCACTCGTGCTGGAGCAGTCTGGCTCTGGAGGACCAGGAGAAGCTATGGAACCAGAGGAACACCCACTCCCCAGGGTTTGCCTGCAGCAAGGGAGATGTGGGTGCAGGTGGCAGTCCCTCTCCTCCAGCCACCCATAGGAGGCAAGGGGAACCTTGCCCGTCCCACAGAGTTCCCCAGAGCCCATGCTCTTCCTCCAAAGCCCCTGAACAATGGTCCCTTTCTCCCCTGCTTAGGGTTATGGAGAAGGGCACCAAGGCATTAAAGGGCAGTGGGAATGCAGGTGCTCAGACACCCAGTGAGGGAAGGAGGGACACACTCAGCCTGGGGTCCCCAGCACAGCCCCCTCAGTGCTGCCCTGAGCTCTGGGAGCCAGGAGGCAGCTGGCAAACCAAGGGTGCCCCTGTGCAGCCAAGAGCAGGGTCCCAGTCGGGGTGGGCTCCCAGCTGGGAGGGTGCAAGCACTCATTCCCCTTTAAGACGCTGATTCTCTGTGCCAGAGCCTGACCTCGGCATCCTCAGCTGAGCTGGATTAACAGGGCGAGGGGGAAGGGGCCTGCAGAGGGGACTGGGGCTGCTGCCTCCCAGGGCTCCCCACACTCCCAGCAGGGCAGGGATGGCCCTTGGGGCTCCACAGGCTGCGGGGCTGGGGTGGCACATGTAGGCACAGCTGGCACTGCCACCAGCCCAGAACGTGGAGCTGAGGTCCTCACACAGCCCCAGGGCTGATGGGGACAGCTGGGCAGGAGTGGAAGGTGGGGCAGGGAGCTGTGCTGGGGGGCAGAGCACACTGGGGAGGTTTTTAAGCCAGGCTGCGTTGGGAACCTCCTGCCGCCATGAAAGACTTCACCGAAATCACTCTGTGCCCGGAGGCTCTGGACCACAGCAAGGTAGGGCTGGGGAGTGGGTGCTGCTGGAGGTCCTCACATACCTGTGCACCCCCGTGGTGCCACCTGTGCTCCTTCTCACACAGACT